GAGTTGGGTGGAACACATAGAAGGCAAAAGCGCGACATCGGCGGGCTTTTACTCGCTGCTTCCTCACTCGGATCGCTGTTTAGCCTGGGTTTGTCCGCATACAACACTGTCAGTATAACGTCCCTAAAACAACACGTGTATGAAGTAGAGAGCGAGGTCCCAAAGATCCGAGCACAAATGGACCTTCAACTAACACAATTGACACAGGTGACTAAAACCGTAAAGGATACTGTTCTAGTGCTGAATACTCACACCCAAGAAATCAAAGCCCTCGTACATGCGGTAAATGAGTTAGCCCTTAAGGTTGAAGCGGATTACGCTGTCGCACACCTAATGGATAGGATTTTTGCTGACATGCTTAGAGATATCAGTTCGTCGGTAGATACACTAGCCACCGGTAGGATCCCACCGTATCTAGTCTCTCTACAGATGGTGAACGACATCCTCAGCTCCGCTACGCGCGAAAGAGTCACGCAAATACAGGCTCACCTGGCTTACACTCTCGGTAGCGCAATTCCAATCTACGTCAATCACAAAACGTTTGAAATGGCGTTCATTATCAACCTACCGATAATTCCCTCAAATGGCATATATAGACTCAGGGACGTTGTTAATGTTGGCAATTGGCACGGTGAAAACCATGTTCAAATTGACACACCGAAGATGGTTGCGTACCACGACGATAACCCCTCAGTTTATCTAGCTCCAAACCTTCAGATGTGTGTTCTCACTCGGGAGATACATTATCTGTGCGCGAGTAAGCCGTTTGTGTGGAATCAAACCGCGGGCTTATGCGGGTTGACACCAATTCCGGAAAATTCTAAGTGCTCAACGACCGTAACGCCTCGGCACCTGGCTAAAGCTGCAAAAGCGGAAATAATTGGCTCTCGTTGGCTAGTGAACGCTCCTCAAAGAAAGGCGATCATAGCCTACGATCAACCCGGGGCAAATAGACCTTTGACGTTACCGGACAAAACAATGTGGATCAGTGTTCCCCAGGGAACAACCATACACATTGGTGATTTGACGCTCTATCACCTCGATCCGGAACAATGGGACGCGACTCTGGATGACTCGGAGTACCTGGGGAATATGTCTATAGACATAGATCCAGAGACTCTAGGAAGGATCCGTTTTGAAGGCACCCAAGTCGTCGACGTGAAACCAATAAACCGAGTTCTCAAGTCTCTCAGGTCCACAATTAAGAACCCGATCCAACCAATTAACTATGCGTGGTCAAGCGCGGACACGTTAATCATAGCCCTGCTAATGACGATAACCCTTGTATTGTGTGGGATACTCGCATCCCTGTTCCGGGGCCAAACGTCACTCCGAGTCGACGTGGATCGCCATGCAGCGCACCTCGATATGATTATGCCTCGCGTATGCGGGTCTGCAAAGAAGCCACTCACACGGGACAGCGTGACTGAAACTGACAACCAGGGTGAGGTGAAGCAGTGAAACGATGTTTTAGTTGCTTAGTCACTACACTTGTCGGTGTTGAAACGTTGTTGAATTGGTTTTGGTTGTTTCTGAGGTAAGAATGAATCTTGTGTGTAAGTTAAGTTAGAGACTAGGAGGCCTTTAACCATGCCAACATGCAGTTCATTCACTAAATTGCAATCTTTGCGGAGTCAAGGTATATTATTGCTACCTTAAGTACCATAATCTACATTGATCTCACAACGCTTAAGCCAAACCTACTCGAACAATTCTATTCGGGGGGATAGCTAATTCTTTTTGATAAGTCTCGCCATAGACTTCCAAACATTTATGGGGAAACCAAACACCCGATCTCAAGTCGTTCGTCTAAAAGACAACAGACATTTGAACCAAACTATATTTTGCCATGTAAAGCTAACTTAAACCAAGTTAGAAATGGAAAAATAGTTTGGAAGCCTTTCCTATAGGTATAAACCCCTGTAGTTACCCCTTTTCAGCATGTTCCACCCCTTAACTGGTAGTTGTAGCTGTTCCCAACCATAATAGCTTACACACCAGGTGCATATAGTTTAAGGCCTTATGTAAAATCCCCTTCATAAGCCCACCTTAAACCACATAATTGCATGACACATTGAACCAGAACGGCACAGGCTGGACGTCGCTGGAGACAACCTTCGCTAAGGAGTGTCATAACTTTCTCATGATAATCTTTCTGGTTCAAAATCACTGTGCACCTTCCTTTGTCTGCTGGGAGAATGATGATGTTTTTGTCCTTGCCAAGAGTGGTGAGTGCATCCCTCTCCTCTCTACTGATGTTGGAAGGTGGTGGTTTGGCATTGCTGAGGCAGGCTGAAACCTTCGATTCTGAGTTGTTCTGCTTCAGCCTCTGTAATTTTGTTGTTGCAGATGGCTGATTCTGTGGCTGTGATCATCTCCACCAGAGGAATTCTACTTGGTGCAACCGCAAAGTTCAGTCCCCTGGCAAGAATCTCTTGTCTCCGGCTGGGTGAGCTGTCTGTCAGATAAATTCTTCAACCACTTTTCTGTCTCCCTGACATGTAATTGACTATTGGAATGTTGTCCTACATTGAATGTGTTGTTATTAGGCCCGAGCAGCGAAGCGCTGTGAAGGCCTATTGTAATTGTGCTGTTTATTTTATTTTTTTAATTCTTCTCCGACAAGAGGCGCTACTTTGGAGGCCTTAACATATCCCAAAACTCACCAAACTTTACCCAAACTTGTCCCCCGCGTAAAATTTTTGTATTTTAATGGAACCAAAAGCGGTCGTGGCCAAATTGCTCAGCAACGCACCCCAACGTGAGCAAAAAAGTCTCTTGGAGGTATGCCCTAAACCCAACAGGAAGTCGGCCATTTTGGGTTAAAGGGTCATTTTTGGGCTTTTTTCACTTTTCATACATGGCGAATTATAATGAACTCCTCCTAGACATTTTGAGGTATTGCGTTCAAACTTGGTGGATATGCCCTTAAGACATTGGAGAGTAAATGTAATTTAAAAAAATTGCGTTTTCATATATGTTAAAGGGGCGTGGTGAGGCCTCAAAGTTGAGCTTCACGCCATAAATTTCCAAACTTTATAACTTTCACAGTGAAAGACCAAAATGCACCAAACTTGGCAAGAGTCATCCATGTCCGAAGCCCGACGATCCTCTGTGGTCAAATTTTGACGTCATCAAAGCCCCGCCCCCTCAGAACAGGAAGTCACTTTTTTTGCTTGGAATGCTCCCTCTCTGACACCATTAATCCAATCAGGATGATCTTGTGTTAGAAGACAGATAACCAGTTGACCTGACTTGCTTTAAAGCGCAAAGCGTTTTCGTTGGAGGATGTGGGCGTGGTGGCGTGGCGAATTCAGAAGTGACGCCGTTGCAATACGTTTGGCTCTAAATTCCACAGATTTGATCCAAGGTTCATCAAAATCACTATGATCGATCATTACTCACCCTTTGAACAGGAAGCCATGATAATTGCCCAATAGCCTCTATAGCGCCCCCTAGAATTTTTTAAAACCACAGCCCCAAGCCATTTTTTGACCGATAATTCTGAAAATTGGTGAACATGTGTATCTTCACAGGACCTATGAAAAAGTATCTTGGAGCACTGGTCCAAAACCAACAGGAAGTCGGCCATTTTGGGTCAAATGTTCATTTTTAGGCGTTTTTGATTTCGAATTTTAACGAACTCCTCCTAGGGATTTTGAAGGATTGCCTTCAAACTTGGTGGATATGCCCTTAAGACATTGGGGAGTAAAAGTTATCAAAAGATTGCATTTTCGTTTTGTTAAAGGGGCGTGGCCAGGCCTCAAAAATGGGCTTCACGCCATAAATTTCCAAACGCTATAACTTTCACATTGAAAAACAGAATTGCACCAAATTTGGCATGAGTCATCCCTGTCCGATGCCCGACGATACTCGGTGTCAAATATTGATGTCATCAAAGCCCTGCCCCCTCAGAACAGGAAGTCACTTTTTTTGCTTGGAATGCTCCCTCTCCGACGCTCTTGACCCAATAAGGATGACCCTGTGTTACAAGACAGATAAGTTTGTCTGACTTGCTTTAAAGCGCAAAGCATTTTTGCTGGAGGATGTGGGCATGGTGGCATGGCGAATTCAGAAGTGACGCCGTTAAAATACGTTTGGCTCTAAATTCCACAGATTTGATCCGAGGTTCATCAAAATCACTGTGATCGATCATTACCCACCCCTTGAACAGGAAGCCATGATAATTGCCCAATAGCCTCCATAGCGCCCCCTAGAATTTTTTAAAACCACAGCCCCAAGCCATTTTTTGATCGATAATTCTGAAACTCTGTGAACATGTGTATCTTCTCAGGACCTATGAAAAAGTCTCTTGGAGCACTGGTCCAAAACCAACAGGAAGTCGACCATTTTGGGTCAAAGGGTCAATTATGGGCATTTCTAAAGGTGCATTTTAACAAACTCCTACTAGGCATTTTGAGCCATAAAATAACAATACCTCTTCTTGAACCGCCATAATTTCTGTTATGAGGTGGTTGAATCTCTTGGTCATCATCATCATGTGGCAGGGCTTTAAATTGGGTCCAGGGCTTGTTGACAATTTCAGTTTTAGCTTTTTCATAAAGTGCTGATACAATTTTTTGGCTGAAGTGTTGACGTGATGTCGTAGCGTGGCTCAATAACTTTAAAGTCGGCGCTTCAACAACAGAAACGTAGATCCAGAGCTTTAAAAACTCCTACAGCTTGTGTTATTGCTCTGGGCCGATCAGAATTACCTGATAAAGGTTGATTAAATGCTGCTTTTATCGGTTTTTGTACCAAGCTGCTAGAAGAGACGTTCACGTTCAGATGATGTCGTTTCAAGTGCGTGAACAAGTTAGACGTGTTACCTGCTGCAGATCCAATCTCCGTGAAACGTCAACACACAGCCTTGAATATGTTCACTTGTCTTTTACAAGAAAGCCTCAATGTTCTCAAACAGGAGACCGCAACGAGAAGCTAATGCTAATGCTGCGCGTGCTGCAAGATAATAGTGCCGTGCTGAAACATGCTTAGGAACTTTAGTTCCACGGCGGGTTGTCCCTGGGACTGTCCGTCTTTGCCGCAGCCTCTTGCTCCAACACTTTTCAGATATGACGATGGTTTTCAGATCAAGACGTGGCGTGGATTATTGATCATGACTCTGGTGTTACTCGGACGATCAACATGATTTAAAAATTGATGTGTAGTTTAGAGTCTATATTTTTGATGTCTTTCCCACTAGAATGACTGAAGTCGGTCAGATGTGCCAGCGTGTCTCAGGAAAAAAATAATGGAGGCTGGGAAGTGTACCAACAAATGAGTCTGTGTTTGTATGAGCTCACCTTTCTTTCCTGGCTTCATCTCCCCGTCTTGGTTCATCCAGTACTCCCTGATGTCAATCAGGACTTTACCTTTGAAGTCTCTGACACTGACATATCTCATTTTACCAATCTGCACAAAACAAACAAAATGTTAAACTCTCTTTGGCGATTCATTTAAAAAGTGCCCCATAACAAGGAATTTAAAATTCAAACCAAAGGTATTACTGCATGCTCTGTGTGTTGTAAATAATACAATGCTCTATTTCACTGAGCTTTGACTATTACTATTAGTGTATACAACTTGATGTTTTACAAATTTGTACATAGATTTATGAAAGTGTCTGTTTTATTACATGGAATGCAAACAAAAATAGTTTGGTGTACTTATGTGTGGTTTTCACAGTAAAAAAACTAAACTGTATTTTTCAAACAGTTTTTCTGGATTTAGGTCCAGAAAGAAAGCCTTTCTTGCTTAATCCTGTAGGTCAAAAGGACAAAAATAACTGGAAAGTCACACGCAAGACCAAGATGACGCCAAACAAGACAAGTTAAGTAGTTTTTTTGGTGAAACGTGAACGTAAAATTGAAAAGTCTTCCAAAAATGACCAATTTCATCCTGAACCCCACACACTTGACTCCAACTCCATCTTGTGCTTAAAAATACAGCGAATATGTAATTGTATCCAAAAGTATTGGATGATAAAAACAAGCAAATCCTCTCTCTCTCTCTCTCTCACCTGGAACATGTTGTCATCACCATTACCGCTGCTCTTGGATGAAGCGCTCGGCTTTGAGCTCTCTCCACTTTTTTGTTTCTTGGTTGGTTTCTCTGGTGCAACAGGCTTTTTTCTCTTTGCCTAAAAGACAAAAAGGAGATGAGCTTTTACCCCAGACAGGAACTGGTTACTGGGACATAGGCATGGGCCTGTTACCAGTATTACCCTCCTGCTGCCCATTGGTTAAAATGTCATACCATTTCAATGCCTTTTACCAGAATCCCAGTGACAAAGTGTTTATGGACCTCTCATAATCTTTTCTGGTCCTAAAGAAGTTATAGGTTAAACTAATGTTTTTTTGTTTTGTTCTTGCAATTTGGACATAAATCTGTTACACAAGCCGTGTTTCTGCAGTGATCAGATGGACAGACAGCACGCTGCGTGGTGTGGAGTGTGAGTCCACTACTTATGATCCATACAGAGGTAACTACAGAGTTTCTCTTTCTTGGAGGGAAAGCTTGCTGACTGGTTGATGTGTCACGTTAAATTAGAAACAGTCAGACAGACCTAGACTAACTAGATCCATTCTTGGTCCAACTCTTTTCTCTAGCTTTATAAGCTTTATATACGATTCTGGTCAATTTGTGGTACTTTTGCTCCTGGACCTTACTGCTGCTTTTGATACTGTTGACCACAGTATCCTTATATCACGGCTGGAACAGTGGGTTGGGATCACAGGTGCTGCATTAGAACGGTTCCGCTCATACCCGAGTGGCAGGAGTTTTTGTGTCAAGGTTGGTAATAATATATCCGCCTCATTACCTCTTTCTTGCGGGGTCCCACAGGGTTCGATTCTTGCACCCCTTCTGTTCTCACTTTATTTGCTCTCACTGGGGTCCATCCTGATGAAACATGGTTTTTCATTCCATTGCTATGCTGATGACTGCCAAATCTACCTGCCTGTGAAACCAGCAAGTGTTTGCTCTATTCACCCTCTGTTAAAATGTCTGGACGACATTAATGCCTGAATGGCTTCAAATTTCTTAAGTTTTAACAATGAGAAGACTGAAGTCATTGTCTTGAGCCCTAGCTCAACTGCCGCCACTGATCCTGTCAACCTGGACTCTCTTCAGCCATATCTTAAGCAGTCTGGTATAAATCTCGGGATGGTTTTAGACTCGGACTTCAAGTTTGACAAACAAATCAACTCTGTTCTGCAGAAAAGCTTCTTCCAACTCAGACAGGTAGCTAAGCTCAAGCCAGTGTTGTCCAGACCCGACCTTGCGAAACTAGTCCATGCCTTTGTCACGACCCGATTGGACTATTGCAATGCACTCTAAGCTGGGATCAGCCAGGCCTCCATTTCACAACTTCATCTCGTCCAGAATGTTGCGGCTCGGCTTTAAACCGGAACTTGTAGGTCTGAACATACAGGTCCTTCTCAAAAAATTAGCATATTGTGATAAAGGTCATTATTTTCCATAATGTAATGATAAAAATGAAACTTTCATATATTTCAGATTCATTGCACACCAACTGAAATATTTCAGGTCTTTAATTGTTTTAATACTGATGATTATGGCACACAGCTCATGAAAACCCAAAATGCCTGTCCCAAAAAATTAGCATATCATGAAAAGGTTCTCTAAACAAGCTATTAACCTAACCATCTGAATCAACAACGTAACTCTAAACACCTGCAAAAGATTCCTGAGGCTTTTAAAAACTCCAAGCCTTGTTCATTACTCAAAACCGCAATCATGGGTAAGACTGCCGACCTGACTGCTGTCCAGAAGGCCATCATTGACACCCTCAAGCAAGAGGGTAAGACACAGAAAGAAATTGCTGAACGAATAGGCTGTTCCCAGAGTGCTGTATCATGGCACCTCAGTGGGAAGTCTGTAGGAAGGGAAAAGTGTGGCAGAAAACGCTGCACAATGAGAAGAGGTGACCGGACCCAGAGGAGGATTGTGGAGAAGGGCCGATTCCAGACCTTGGGGGACCTGCAGAAGCAGTGGACTGAGTTTGGAGTAGAAACATCCAGAGCCACCGTGCACAGGCGTGTGCAGAAAATGGGCTACAGGTGCCGCATTCCCCAGGTCAAGCCACTCTTGATCAAGAGACTGCATCAGAAGCATCTCGCCTGGGACTGCTGCTGAGTGGTCCAAAGTTATGTTCACTGATTACAGTAAATTTTGCATTTCCTTTGGAAATCAAGGTCCCAGAGTCTGGAGGAAGAGAGGAGACACAGAATTCACATTTCTTGAGGTCCAGTGTCAAGTTTCCACAGTCAGTGGGGTGGCATGTCATCTGCTGGTGTTGGTCCACTGTGTTTTATCAAGGGCAGGGTCAATGCAGCTAGCTATCAGGAGATTTTGGAGCACTTCATGCTTCCATCTGCTGAAAAGCTTTATGGAGATGAAGATTTCATTTTTCAGCACGACCTGGCACCTGCTCACAGTGCCAAAACCACTGGTAAATGGTTTACTGACCATGGGATTACTGTGCTCAATTGGCCTGCCAACTCTCCTGACCTGAACCCCATAGAGAACCTGTGGGATATTGTGAAGAGAAAGTTGAGAGACGCAAGACCCAACACTCTGGATGAGCTTAAGGCCGCTATCGAAGCATCCTGGGCCTCCATAACACCTCAGCAGTGCCACAGGCTGATTGCCTCCATGCCACGCCGCATTGAAGCAGTCATTCATGCAAAAGGATTCCCGACCAAGTATTGAGTGCATAACTGAACATGATTATTTGAAGGTTGGCGTTTTTTGTATTAAAAACACTTGTCTTTCATTGGTGGGATGAAATATGCTAATTTTTTGGGACAGGCATTTTGGGTTTTCATGAGCTGTATGCCATAATCATCAGTATTAAAACAATTAAAGACCTGAAATATTTCAGTTGGTGTGCAATGAATCTGAAATATATGAAAGTTTCATTTTTATCATTACATTATGGAAAATAATGACCTTTATCACAATATGCTAATTTTTTTACCTGTATTACACCAGTTCTGTCCTCCCTTCACTGGCTCCCTGTTTGTACAAGGATAGTCTTTAAAATTCTTCTGTTGACCTTCAAATGTTTAAATGGCCTCGCACCCCTTTACCTCTCTGAGCTTCTGGAACCTTACGTTCCCTCTTGGGCCTTGAGTTCATCTGATCAGCTGCTTTTGGCTGTTCCAAAAACAAGACTGAAGCTCAGAGGAGATCGGGCTTTTTCAGTCAAGGCTCAGTCTTAGGACCCACCACAAGGCTCAGTCTTAGGACCCACCCTCTTTACAATCTATATACATAATATAGGTAAAAACATCCCTAATGCATCCATACATTTCTATGCTGACGACACAGTTGTTTATTGTCGAGCTAAAACAGTTGCTAAGGCTTTCCAGCTTTTGAAATCTGCATTTAACTACATCCAGACTGATTTGTTTCACCTCAAACTTGTCCTAAATGCCGAAAAAACCAAAGGGATGCTTTTTTCAAATAGGAAGTTGGTCCCAGCAGTTCTTCCTCCGATTTTATCCTCAAATGGTGTCCCCATTGAGTTTGTTGATTCCTATAAATATTTGGGTATCTTGGTCGACTCACATCTTTCTTTTAAGCTCCATGTGGAAAACTTGGTAAAGAAACTGAAAGTTAAACTGGGTTTCTTTTTCAGAAACAAATCCTGTCTAACCCTGAATGCTAGAAAACGCCTTGTATCTGTGACTTTCCTTCCCTCCATTGATTATGGTGACATTATTTACATGAACGCTCCTACAAGAACCCTGCAGATGTTGGATGCCGTCTATCATGGTGCACTAAGATTCATAACTGGCTGTGATTATCGTACCCACCACTGCACCCTGTATTCACTGGTTAACTGGACATCATTAACTTCACGCAGACTCTCTCACTGGTACATTTTCATCTTTAAATCACTTCTTGGTCTGCTACCTTCTTACATCTCCTCTTACATGTCTCTGCGTGAGTGCAGCTACGGAGTGCGCTCTCAGGACATTATTACCTGCAGTGTTCCCTCAATGAGGACTGAACTAGGCAAAAGGGCCTTCTCCTATTCCGCTCCTGTTTCCTGGAATATCTTACAAAGATTTGAAGCTCTCGACCTTGACCTCTCTAAGTGTCTTTAAGAATCTGTAGGACTCCTGGCAGGGTCCAATGCAGACATGTTCCTGTTTTTAGTTTTCTACATTTGTCTTGGAATCTAGCTGTTTTTTGTTTTGTTACCTTTTCCTTTTAGCCATCCTATTTGTTAAAAAAAACAAAAAAAAAAACTGTAGTATGCTTTTTTATAACTGTTTATTGTTGTTGCTGTTGTCCATTGTTGTCATCTTTCTTTGTTGAAATCAGGTCTCTCTTGTAAATGAGTCCTCGAGGCTCAATGGGATTTACCTGTATAAATAAAGGTTGATTGATTTCAGTCATGGGCCCCAAACCCTGGAACAACCTGCCCCCAACATCAGGTAGGCCACCTCCCTTCAAATCCCTGCTTAAAACACATCTGTTCTCGCAGGCATTTCACACTGTGTAAATTGATCTAGTTTTTTTTAATCTGTGACCCTATGTTTTAAATGCTTTTTATTAATTCTTCAGTTATTATTAGTGTATTGTGTGTGTGTGTATATATATATATATATATATATATATATATATATATAT